CGCAGCTGTCAGTGTTTACTCCTGTCATTCAAACAAGACGTGCTGGAGAGGGGGCGGATCCATCAGGCTAAACTAACCTGTAGCTGCTCCGTCCACACTCACAACAGCGTCATACAGACATAAATAAAGCAGCGACTGTATTCGCCATGACATAGACAGTCTGTGGTTTGTAGTTGTTTAACTTTTGTCCAGTTTCTGAACAGATATGAGGAGCTGTGAGCTCTGAGTGTGTGCTAACAGCTAACGGTTGATGTGTTGGGACCATAGACTGTATATGACATGTTGCGCTGTCGGGTGCTGACCGATCTCGAAGCGTCATTTCTTGACTGGCAGCAAAAACAACCAATCACAGCAGTGCTTCTCTGGCTGGCTCTGTCCAATCACAAACAAGAAGTGTTCTCCCTAAAGGAATACCCTTTCCGTCCAATGTGAAATGCTGTGGTGTTTTCTGAAATGCTGTTGTGTTTTCTGAAATGCTGCGGCGTTTTGTGAAATGCTGCGGCGTTTTGTGAAATGCTGTAGGGTTTTCTGAAATGCTGTGGTGTTTTCTGAAATGCTGTAGTGTTTTCTGAAATGCTGTGGTGTTTTCTGAAATGCTGTTGAGTTTTCTGAAATGCTGTGGTGTTTTCTGAAATGCTGTAGTGTTTTCTGAAATGCTGTTGTGTTTTCTGAAATGCTGTGGTGTTTTCTGAAATGCTGTGGTGTTTTCTGAAATGCTGTTGAGTTTTCTGAAATGCTGTGGTGTTTTCTGAAATGCTGTGGTGTTTTATGAAATGCTGTGGTGTCTTGCACTTCCGGGCCACCGTAGTCTTCTCATATTTTTAAGCCTCAAATTGTCCTTCCCCCCCCCCTCTAACATCACCAGAAGTCATAATTTAGGGGGTCTTTTCTCAAAAATCTTTACCGGGGGAGCATCCCCCCGGAACCCCCTAGTATTGTTTGATCACCATTTCCACAGCCCCACCTAAAATATTTTCCACCAGCCGCCACTGCAACAGGGTGTGGCACATAAGAAAGAGAGATTAATGATAAATTAAAGTGGACCTATCATGCTATATTTGAATAATATATTGTAGGGCCATACCTATATAAAACATGTCTGTGAAGTCTTTTTTTCAAAATACCAAACAGATCATGCATTTTAGCCATGCCTCATTTCGCTCCATTTGCTGTATTCCAGCCCTGTTTTTGCAAGGGCTGATTCTGTGGCAAATGAGATGTCCTAATGGACATCCATTTAATCAGTGATGACCTGAAATTTAGAGAAGTTATTTATAAAAATATACCTGCCATAGTGAAAACTCCTAAATTCAACTGCAAACCATTGATGAAATTACTTCTGTTTTTAAATCCTTGATAAAGGAAGGAGTAATTGTTACATGTTCGGACACCCAAGGTTCCACACACTGTTAGGGAGGTTAAACATTTTTCTTTAAGTAGACCAGAATTGAAGATAAATTAATATAATGAATTATGAAATACATGGCAGAGCTTCGCAGATCCTATTAATGTTTTGACTCAAGAAAATAATGATGTGCACAAGTTTCTGAAATAGATCTATTAGACATTTTAATATAGATTAGGCGTTAATAAACTGCAGTAGTAGTACTATAAGGAAGTGAAAATGTTGGCTACCAAATTTCAGGAAAAGTTAGAGATATCTTGAAAATTATAGTTGTAATCGTGAATTAATAAATGATGGCGCTCCATATATGACAGATTTTTGTAGACAAAGAATAGCTGCCTATGGTGAAATATCAAAGTCTCTGCAGAGCATGACACATGGCCAAAAAGACTGAGACCAAATGGCCTTTGACCCTGACTGACAGTGTGACTTGAGAAAAGCGCTGTCAATGACTGACTCTGGGGTGTACCTGACCAAACTTGACTTTACAACTAGACAGTGTGAGTGTGAATGTATGCCGGCATGTGATCAGTGTAACTGCATGATTCTAAAACAATAACTAACCATGCATGTTTTTGGACTAACACGTTATTCTGGGGCTCTGTGTGGGAAACGAGAGGTTTCCTAAAATTCCACAAAATTGGAAAACTGCACATGTGACCCGTTTCTAATCTACTTGATGATATTTTACTCCCACAGGAGGTGGCGGTTTGCAAAATGTGAAGCTCAAACTAAAATCTGAAGATTCTGTTTCTTTTAGGACTGAAAGATGGAGGGAAACACTTATTTTCACTGGAGTGTTTACCGTGGGAAAATAATGGATGTAAATGTGTGAATAATGTTTGGTATGTTCTTATAATCAATGATTACCTGAAGGTTTTCTTCCCATACAGGATTTTGTTACACATGAGTTCATGTGTAAAAAGGGGGAGTGTGTGTATAATGTATTATATCAACATGGCTGTAAAATTCACAATCTACATTTTTCATTTAGGGATTGAAAGAAACCTGCCGCCCCAACTCGAATGTTCAATCTGACCATTGATTGACAGTTTTAGAATGAACCTGCTCCATGTCTATAAGACACTGTTTGATGAATGTTGACATGTTTCTAAATATTAATTGAATTATAACGGGTAACGCAGATGCAGAAGTAGTGGCCAAGGGGCTTCTGTGAGAGATGTATGTCCAGAATGGGAATACCAAAGAAGTTGACCTGTGATAATGAAACCATTTTGTAATGTGGATATTTTAACAGATATTAGAGTAAGTGGGGTTTGAAATGTAGAAAGAACATATTACAGTTAAGTTAAGCTAAAACATAGTAATGTAATGAGACATAATTTAATTTAGACAACATCCTGTCTCTAGCCTGGTAAATAATTAGAAGTAAAAGCCATAGACTTTATTGTTTAGGTCATTATGGGGATAGAAATTAACACAAGACTAGTTTCACAAGGGCAATTTAAATTCATAATAGAAAGACATTTGTATGTTGGAATTCTGTATTCATTAGATAGCTTGTAGCTTGATAATATTTAAGCACTGACAGGTAGAAGCAGTATCACCAGGAAATCATTCACTTTGACAGTATCATGATTCTAGTTGTTATTGAATCCATAACATTAGTGTGTTTCTTTACCAGAAACGTGAGTAGTTCGTTATTATATTTATATTTTAAATAGGATTTCAAGGATTTGATTTAAGAATAACACAGATGCTTGTCAGAAATTCAGAGCTATTGAAATATGTGATTTAGTTCACCTAAAGATGTTGGAGTTTTATTTTGTTGGCACAGTCCAAGTATTAAGATTCTGAAGCTGCACTGGCAATTAGGAGGTCTACAATTAATATAGAAAACATTTACAGAGTAGCAAGGTCAGGTGCAGACACTGAAAGAATACAAAGAGTTATTCATAAACAGGACATCACTCCGGCCTTGAGTTGTATGGGAGCTTCGCTCCCACACACAGCTAGGAAGCAGCATTTTGAAGATTCCACTATATCTGCAGAAAGCTTCAGAAAAAACAAATTACGTATGATGGCGCCAGAGTAGGGAGGGACTTCCACAGGCTGGCCGAATGCTGATTGGAAGGTTGTGTTGCCAAGATACTTTTTTCTAAGTCTCCGCAACTAACAAAGAGAACCAAGTCTAAACCATGGTATCTCTTCAGCTAGTCTTGACCAATCATAAATGTACGGGCAACGCCCTGTGTAATAAAAATGTATGCACACACGAGGTTCGAGGCTCTTGTCCGGAAAAAGACTGACAGATTACAGCTTTGCTGTCTGTGATTTCTATGACGTGACGGAGTACTTGGTCAAGTGAATATATATCTATTGCTCTCTCATAATAAATAGTTAAACTTAGCAGTCGTCTGTCTTTCCTGGAATTTTGAACACAACACTCTCCAGTACAGCGTTAGCTGAGTGTTAGCGATGCTTGCTAATGTAAACACAGACCATATTACTTCCAAAACACGTTGTGCACTGTTTCTGATACAGCACATAGCTTGATGTTCTTTATTCAGCGTTTGACGCTATATTGTATAATATGTACCTGTATAAGAAGCAGCGTTTCCGCCAGGGGTGCGTCTTGGCGTCATTTGAGGGAACGCGTCAAAGAAAATTATAATTCGAGAGAAGATCGAGAGTTTTTATCGCTTGAAATGACGAAAAGGAAAAAGGACAAGGACATCCCTCTGTTAGAGGGTCAAAGGAGTGTGACCTTCTTCTTCTTCTTCTTGAATGTATTAACAACTTTACTCTAAGTCCCTCTCGTAGAAATCCTGCTGAATACACAGACACACAGCTGAGGGAGGGGATTCAGCAAGTGACTGTATATGGAGACGATAGGTTGGGACGTGGGCGGAACGTTGCCAGGAGTTCAACGTAAAGCCAGCCCAGATTTTCGATATTACGTCATGACCGCAGCAAATCTGAATCAGCTCCGCTGTACCCCCGTTTTTTTAGATGTGGGTATGGAGGAAAAGAGAGAGGGTTGTATTTTTGGACACTTTGTGTGTCTCCACACATATTTATGTATAAAAGACATAAAAAAGTAAATTTTGCATAATAGGTGCCCTTTATGAAAGGATGGACCTTTAACGAAACAACATTATAGCATCCGTGAACTTGCAACTTGATTAATATTGTAATGGCCTTTTAAGAAATAAATGATTGGATGGCTATTATAACATTTGATTACATTTTTTGTTAGTTTATTTAACGTGGACATTTCCTTATCTAATCACCCCTGGAAATGAATGAATTTCTCTTTAAATACTTCTCAATGGAATGTTACCAATATTTATATTTTAATATATTATTTATTAAATGGATTGCTAAATAGGCTGAAACGTTCAACAAACATTTACATGTTAATGTTCTTACATATTATTGATGATGGGTGAAAAAATGTGTAATGACATGAATGGTTGGTATTATTTCATCATCTGTAAGCACGTACGTTACAGGATGAAAATGTTTTATCATATTAAACCCCTTCAGTGTTAGTATATTGTTAGATAGGTAGCAGCTAATAATTCCTTCAGTTCTCTCAGACTGGATATAGAGCAGGTAAAGAGTTTCATACTTGGACACAGCAATGAAGGCCAGCTCCACGTTCACTCCTGTCTTGGCACTAGTCTCCATGAAAGGAACGGAGTACTCCTGGAGAAGCAGAGGAGCATGGTGTCAGCATCACTGAGTTGGAACAGTGTGAGTGAATGAATGAATGAAACACTCACTCTGGCCAGCCTCTCTCCTTCTTCCCTCCTGATGGCTCTGTCGCTGCTCATGTCAGCCTGTCAGACACAATGCAGGGTTAAAACAGCACATCTTATTTATAAAACAAATCCCTGCAGCCTGTCATATATTAAAACAGCATTTTTATTTTACTTTTTGTTGCAGGTTGCACCTCTTTCTGACCGTTAGAGCCAATAGAATCGAAGGGGGAGTCCCCCACACACACTCATTGTAAAACACAAAGGTGGGGGCTTTGCGCATGTAATTTTGCATTAGAGTGAAACTATCTCTCGCTCTGACATCTAGAAACGGAAAAGCAGTCTCAATGCTCATGGATTATCAGAAATCATTTCAAAGGGACACAAACACATTGGATTAACCTATTAACTTCAGCAGTGTTTTTATCGTTTTAATGCCATTGAAGACCACTTTGGAGAGACTACAGAGCCAAGGTAAAAATGTTAGCATTTTTAGCTACCTAGCGCCACATGTTTTGATGTCTGTTTTTGTTTATAACGTCGCAATTTCGTATAATTCAGTGATAATGAGGGTACCCTTCTATTCTGTGTCACCTCACGATGTGAAACGATGTCATGGATGTAGAGAAAAGATAAATAATAAGGTTTTGTGAGTGATTTTCGGTGCAGTTATCTGTTAGCATTTTTCGCTCGTTGCTAATTCAGAGGCTCAGTGTTAGCATTGTGGGTTTTCTTTTGAAAAAAAAATATCAGTTAGATGAGTTTCTTCCCGTTACATGGATATAAAACATTCATAGTTTATTAAATGAACATGCCCTCAGACACTGTTTCCTGCAAGATGTTGCGGCAGTGCCCCAGTACCGGGGTCTCTCGGGTTTAACAGGTTAAAAAAATTACAAAAGTATTAGCATGAAAATGAAATTGGGGATTGCAAGCAGAAGCCTCCATGTGGCGTATCCCGGGCAAACAGACACTGTACCACAGTGACGGTACGTCCACACGGCAGCGTCGCGTTGAAGCTTGCCGGTGGGCGTGTCTGGCGTGCGACCAACAACCAATCACATTAATCTCCCGCCCCAGACACACAAGCACGCGGTTTGATTGGCTAGAGCTTGTACTGGCATATGATTTGATTGGCTGGCGCTTCCGTCGACGCTTGAAAAGTTGAACTTTTCTCAACTTTCGAAGCGAGCAACAGAGGCAAAGTGACGCGACGGAACCACAATGCAGTTCGGCAAAGTGTGACGTCACCCCATTCAAAGTGAATGGGAAGCGTCTCCGTTGAAGCACGCAACGCTGCCGTGTGGACGTACCATGAATGTCTGAAGTAGCCAATTCTGCAACCACTGACCGTCTGTATGCAAGAGACCCATCTGGGTCTGACCGGCCAACCCTACCAGGTATGAAACTGGTAGCCGAGATACGTCTTATGCTGCGTTCACACCGGACTCCAATAGCTCGAGTTTCACCGCGGCTTGCAGTTTGTTTTATCGCGTCATTCAAAACAGACATAAAGTCTGATTTAAGACTTGATTATATTTCACATCATTAATTCAAATCTGGAAAGTAACTAAAGGTATTAAATACATGTAGTGGAGTAAAAGTACACCATTAAATGTACTTAGTTACTTTACACCACTTTATCAGGGTATGTCTTCATACAACTTTGTTTGATTTATTTTATATATATATTTTTTTTGTGCTGCCAATATCTCGCCACTGGAGATTCATTCAGGACAATTGCCAACAGCTTCCGTGTTGGTATCTCAACTGTCTTAACTGTCATCCCTGATGTGGCCACTGCTGTTTGGGACTGGCTTGTGGAGGAGTTCATGGCTGAGCCCTCTACAGAGGAGTGGAGGTCAATAGCAGAAACGTTTCATGAGCAGGGGAACTTTCCTCTCTGCTGTGGAGCATTGGATGGGAAACATGTTGTCCTCAAAGCCCCAGAAAACACAAGATCCCAGTTTTTTTATTACAAAGGAACATTCTTTTGGCAGTTGTGGATGCACAGTATTGTTTTCGTGTTATTGATGTTGGGGGCTATAGAAGTGATGGGGGGCATTCTGGCCAACTCTGCTTTTGGTCAAGCCCTGAAATCTGGCTCCCTCCAACTGCCTGCTGGCCTGCCACTCCCAGGAGTTGACCACCTGGGACCACTGCCACATGTCTTTGTTGCAGATGAGGCCTTTCCTCTCAGAAAAAACCTCATGAGGCCATTCCCTGGGCGCAACCTTCCCAGAGAGCGCAGAATCTTCAACGAAGTCTGTCTCGAGCTCGGCTTGTTGTGGAGAATGCCTTTGGGATTCTTTCATCTCAGTGGAGGATGTACAGGCTTGTAATTGAAGTCCAGCCAGAAGTTGCAGAGAAGTTTGTGAAGGCTACCTGTATTCTCCATAACTTCTTGCGCAGGACAACCCAGGCAAATACACAGAGGGCCATCTCAGTTGCTGATGTGGAGCCACTGCCAGGTCTAGGAAGAATTGCAGCCAACAACTCCGCAAGAGAGGCCATCAGTTAGGGAGGTCTTCACATCATACTTCAATGCAGAGGGAACGGTCCCATGGCAAGACGACGTGTAATGCACCAGCACACAATAAAGGCTCTTTTAAGAGCCACCCACACATACTATTGAGCAACATTTCTATCCCAACACCAGATTTAGGTCACCAATTCATATAATTGTTTCTGTTAAATCCATGAATTATTGTTTTGTGAGGTAGTGCCACTTTCTGCTTTTTAAATGACTTTATGATTATAGGCAAAGCATATATAGAAGTACATTTTGACTTTAAATGTAATGAAATTGTGAAAATATGTAGTCTCTTATATTTCTACAAAGGATTATATGTAGCAGACTGCTACTAGGAATACTCTGTTACAAGTAAAAGTTAGTTACTTTACACTACTGTGCACAATACAATCACCTTAATTACGTTATTAATTATGTGATGACCATAAAGAAACCTAAAGAAACGTATGTGATGGCGAAAGAATAAAGGAACATTAAACAACGTTTTATTGTGATATTTGAATAAAAAATTATAATCTAAATGTATACTGTATACAGTAGATTACATTTTAAAAAGCCTGGTTTGTTCCCTTCAAATATTGTCAACCCATGGCAGGTAATCTATTCGAATTCCAAATTTAGCACAAATGTGCTTGCTTCATAAATTAATTTATGAATTTCAAACTTCACGAAGTTCTTCTGCTGCGTTGGCAGTCTTTGAAGAGAAGGAAGTAGGCTTTTGAGGAAAAGTTCATCCTCTGTTAGTGGGGTGCTAACAGTGGCAGGCAGAGCAACGGATCCCCGCACTGCCAAGGCCTCAAGGAGGCGTTCATGCACCTCCCTTTCCTTCTCTCTCTCTACATTTCTGGGCCTTTTTCTTCCTGCATGACAAAAACAAATAGCATATTTTTAGTGAAGATACAGCAATGCAACAATATAATAAAATGCAATCAAAACTGTCATGCACATACCCCTTGGTGCTCTGCCTTCACCACTAGGCCCTGCAACTATCAGGACAGCAGCAGGGGCATCAGCAGGGGCATCATGGTGATCCTCTGCCTCACTGCCCTTCCGAAAACTGATGTTGTTCATCTGTAAATATTGAAAATATAAGAAAGATGTCTTTTGTATTCCATTGAGGCAAATATAGTAATGAGATAATAAAATGGAACAGGTAATGTAATTCTAGCTTTTGTGTGAATACAACTTTTTACAAATGCACTTATATTATTATAATTACTTATTGATAAATTAAGCAGTTATAGCCTTTGATTTTTACACAACCTAGTGACTACTAAATGTAAAGATAGAAATTGATATCATTTTTTTCTGTATGACTAGCTATGTAGATATTCTGTATGACTTTCCTATGCAGTGTGGGTGAGTGTCTCCACTTGTCAACCAACCTCTCCCGTCTGCTCCCTGCGCTTCACCTCCGTACTCTGAGGTCCTGTCTTCCTCGACACCATATTGCTGGTAGTTTTTCTCGGGGTAAGAAATGCGTTGAGGAAGGACAGGACCGCAGAGTATTTCCACTTTTGATTGGTCCCTGCTGCTGACCCACTCCTCCTATCTTTCTCCCTCTTTCTTTCCTTGACGTGTCCCTGAGGCTTTTCCACTTCCTTCGGCATACCTCCTTTGACAAGAAAAAAACGTTTACAAACGGTAACTTTTAACCATTATCTGCCGTTAAACCGGTGGTTGAGCTAACTTGGTTAATGCTAATGTGTTGTTGGTATCTGTAATCAAGCAACAGATGTATATTTTGTATAACTTACCAGGTATGCCTACTTCCTTGCTTATTCTCCTCCAAGCCAGCTCCTTTTTGTTGCAGTACCGGTATATATACGACATAGTATCATATATCTCCGGGAACCCACTCAAAGCCACAGAGATCGTGTCTTCCATCTTTACAACTGATCAACAGCAGGACGTCAGAGGGAATCCTGATTGGCTTTTGCGAGAACGTGTCACGTGAATTTGACGCTCGAGTTGAAAACATTTAACTCTTGCGTTTGACACGGCCCCCTTCAATCCCCTCAATCCCGTGATTCACGCCGCGCCAACCGCTTCATGCGCGCCGTCGGAGCGAATTTGCGTCTGTCCGCGTCTCTGCATTGACTTTACATGTAATCGCGCCACCCCAAAAATCGCAAATCCTTCAACAGCTGCCTCTGGAGAAGAGGATACAACCCTGACCTGTGTTTCGTGACCGATCTCAGTCACGATCAACCATGCTATAACAAAGTCGGAAGTTCCCTTTCGACGCCGTTTCAACCTCAAGAAGGTAAAATGGGCCGAGTATAGCGAGGGGATGGAAAAAGCACTACTAGGCATTGAACCCACACCTGACAGCTACACCAGGTTCATACATGCTGTAAAGAAGACTGCTCAAGCTAACATTCCTCATGGATGTATTCTGGAAAAGAATACATCGCTGGCCTCACAGAGGAATCAATGCAGCTGCTGGAGTGCTACGAAACCGAGTTCACAAATGACCCCTTTTTGGACAACACTAGCTAGCTCTGGAATACACTCATGGGATCCCTGGGGATTGAGAGGCGGAAAGCTTGGCAGGAGCTTATACCGAACACCAATATGTCCCAGAACAGCAAAAAAGCCTGGTGCAACATAACACCAAACCAGGTCGGGAGCCAACTGGTAGCCAACGGGAGATGAGCAAAAAGGCACAGCGCTAAAGGAGAACATCAATCTGCATTCATTCCAGGTAACCAACAGAACATGTCAATACCAACCAAGCCCTTCACCTTAGAAGAGCTTGAAGCAGGACTTTGCACTATGAACCTGGGAAAAGCAGTGGGTCCTGACAACATCCTGACCGAATTGATGACTCACCTACTCCCAGCCGCAAAACAATGGCTTATGAAAATGTACAACGCATGCCTCCAGACCCAGCTAATTCCAGCCATATGGAAGAAAGCTACTGTCATTGCCCTACTAAGAAATAGAGTCAACCCTGGAACGAGGCCTCTCAGATATGTCTGCTTACTATCTTGAAAACCACCCGCGCCCAATCCTTGAGAAAACTCAAATCTGTAGCTTTCATGTCAAAAACAGAGAGGCTAAACAGGAGCTTGACGTAAACTCGGAAGAACGCTTGAAAACCACCAGCACCCAGTCTCTTCTGGGACTAACGTTAGATCGTATCCTTAGTTTCAAACAACACATCCAAAAGACGAGAGGCAAGTTCTCCACCAGGAACAAACTCCTACAACAACTAACAAACTCAAAGTGGGGGGCCCACCCACCCAAGTAGTGGACTATTGCAACGCTCTGTATGTGGGTATGGACCAGGCGTCAATTAAACGCCTGCAGCTAGTCCAAAACGAAGCTGCACGTCTTCTGACTGGCCACAAAAAGCGTGACCACATCACCCCAATTCTGGCCTCACTACACTGGCTTCCAGTTCGGTTCAGAATTGATTTTAAAATCCTTTTATTTGTTTTCAAAGCCCTAAATGGGCTGGCTCCTGCCTATATAGCCGAACTCCTCCATCGCTACACCCCAGCCAGAGCTTTAAGGTCTGCTGACCAGCTGTTGCTGATAGTGCCCAAGACCAGGCTCAAAACCCGAGGGCACCGAGCCTTCGCAGCAGCTGGCCCCAGGCTCTGGAATACTCTGCCCCTCCATGTGAGGTCGGCCGAGACACTAGGGTTTTTTAAATCCTCACTTCTTCTCCCTGGCCTTCTAGTCAGAGCGGAGCATGACACCTGACTATTCCCTGTGTTTTTGTTTTTTATATTTCTGTTGTAAATGATTGTCTTTTATTGTGATTGTAGTAATGTGTTTTTATTACATGTACAGCACTTTGGCTCGACCAAAAATGTTCTGGACACCACTGAAGTACTGGAGACCAAAGGACGTTGCAACGCGTCCATGAAGAAATGGAAAGAGATGCAGCCGAGCCCCACAATGTAACGGCGATGACCTGGGCAAACCAAATGCTGCTGCGCTCACCTGCGCCAACCACTAGAAAGACGTGATATACTGTAGAAGACGGCTGGATACAAGAAAGAAGCATGAAGATATATTAAGTAGTACCAAAAGTGAAAGTACACATCTTGCAGATTGGCTAATATATAATATATGATTAGATTTTAATTATGGATGCTTTCATATGTGAATCAAAGCTGGTAAAGGTGCAGCTAGTTTGAATGACTTGCAGGATAGCTTATGAATTTACTCCTGGTGGAAATAAAGTCTGATTTAAGTAAATGTAGGAGAAAAAGTACACAATTTACCTCTGAATTGTAGTGGGGTAGAAGTAAAAAGTAGCAACAATTTAAAATACTCAAGTAAAGTAAAAGTCTCTCAAATGTTTACACCACTGAAAGATCTGTGTCTTTAGCTGAAAAATGTGTTCCTTAGTTCCCAAAGCTTACTAACAGTCTGCTGCTGTACAGAGAAATGTTTTGGATATAAACTTTAATAAAAAGCCACAGCATTCAGTCAGGTTTCACTAAAGATCACATCCATTTCTATTTTCTCAAGACTTTTTCGTTGCTGAGCCTCTCAAACAAGTCCCTCTTACCTTGTTGCCCAGCAACATGATGACTACATCACTTTGTGCATACTCATGGATCTCTGTTAGCCTGTGTTTTTGTTTTTTATATTTCTGTTGTAAATGATTGTCTTTTATTGTGATTGTAGTAATGTGTTTTTATTACATGTACAGCACTTTGGCTCGACCAAAAATGTTCTGGACACCACTGAAGTACTGGAGACCAAAGGACGTTGCAACGCGTCCATGAAGAAATGGAAAGAGATGCAGCCGAGCCCCACAATGTAACGGCGATGACCTGGGCAAACCAAATGCTGCTGCGCTCACCTGCGCCAACCACTAGAAAGACGTGATATACTGTAGAAGACGGCTGGATACAAGAAAGAAGCATGAAGATATATTAAGTAGTACCAAAAGTGAAAGTACACATCTTGCAGATTGGCTAATATATAATATATGATTAGATTTTAATTATGGATGCTTTCATATGTGAATCAAAGCTGGTAAAGGTGCAGCTAGTTTGAATGACTTGCAGGATAGCTTATGAATTTACTCCTGGTGGAAATAAAGTCTGATTTAAGTAAATGTAGGAGAAAAAGTACACAATTTACCTCTGAATTGTAGTGGGGTAGAAGTAAAAAGTAGCAACAATTTAAAATACTCAAGTAAAGTAAAAGTCTCTCAAATGTTTACACCACTGAAAGATCTGTGTCTTTAGCTGAAAAATGTGTTCCTTAGTTCCCAAAGCTTACTAACAGTCTGCTGCTGTACAGAGAAATGTTTTGGATATAAACTTTAATAAAAAGCCACAGCATTCAGTCAGGTTTCACTAAAGATCACATCCATTTCTATTTTCTCAAGACTTTTTCGTTGCTGAGCCTCTCAAACAAGTCCCTCTTACCTTGTTGCCCAGCAACATGATGACTACATCACTTTGTGCATACTCATGGATCTCTGTTAGCCTGTGTTTTTGTTTTTTATATTTCTGTTGTAAATGATTGTCTTTTATTGTGATTGTAGTAATGTGTTTTTATTACATGTACAGCACTTTGGCTCGACCAAAAATGTTCTGGACACCACTGAAGTACTGGAGACCAAAGGACGTTGCAACGCGTCCATGAAGAAATGGAAAGAGATGCAGCCGAGCCCCACAATGTAACGGCGATGACCTGGGCAAACCAAATGCTGCTGCGCTCACCTGCGCCAACCACTAGAAAGACGTGATATACTGTAGAAGACGGCTGGATACAAGAAAGAAGCATGAAGATATATTAAGTAGTACCAAAAGTGAAAGTACACATCTTGCAGATTGGCTAATATATAATATATGATTAGATTTTAATTATGGATGCTTTCATATGTGAATCAAAGCTGGTAAAGGTGCAGCTAGTTTGAATGACTTGCAGGATAGCTTATGAATTTACTCCTGGTGGAAATAAAGTCTGATTTAAGTAAATGTAGGAGAAAAAGTACACAATTTACCTCTGAATTGTAGTGGGGTAGAAGTAAAAAGTAGCAACAATTTAAAATACTCAAGTAAAGTAAAAGTCTCTCAAATGTTTACACCACTGAAAGATCTGTGTCTTTAGCTGAAAAATGTGTTCCTTAGTTCCCAAAGCTTACTAACAGTCTGCTGCTGTACAGAGAAATGTTTTGGATATAAACTTTAATAAAAAGCCACAGCATTCAGTCAGGTTTCACTAAAGATCACATCCATTTCTATTTTCTCAAGACTTTTTCGTTGCTGAGCCTCTCAAACAAGTCCCTCTTACCTTGTTGCCCAGCAACATGATGACTACATCACTTTGTGCATACTCATGGATCTCTGTTAGCCTGTGTTTTTGTTTTTTATATTTCTGTTGTAAATGATTGTCTTTTATTGTGATTGTAGTAATGTGTTTTTATTACATGTACAGCACTTTGGCTCGACCAAAAATGTTCTGGACACCACTGAAGTACTGGAGACCAAAGGACGTTGCAACGCGTCCATGAAGAAATGGAAAGAGATGCAGCCGAGCCCCACAATGTAACGGCGATGACCTGGGCAAACCAAATGCTGCTGCGCTCACCTGCGCCAACCACTAGAAAGACGTGATATACTGTAGAAGACGGCTGGATACAAGAAAGAAGCATGAAGATATATTAAGTAGTACCAAAAGTGAAAGTACACATCTTGCAGATTGGCTAATATATAATATATGATTAGATTTTAATTATGGATGCTTTCATATGTGAATCAAAGCTGGTAAAGGTGCAGCTAGTTTGAATGACTTGCAGGATAGCTTATGAATTTACTCCTGGTGGAAATAAAGTCTGATTTAAGTAAATGTAGGAGAAAAAGTACACAATTTACCTCTGAATTGTAGTGGGGGTAGAAGTAAAAAGTAGCAACAATTTAAAATACTCAAGTAAAGTAAAAGTCTCTCAAATGTTTACACCACTGAAAGATCTGTGTCTTTAGCTGAAAAATGTGTTCCTTAGTTCCCAAAGCTTACTAACAGTCTGCTGCTGTACAGAGAAATGTTTTGGATATAAACTTTAATAAAAAGCCACAGCATTCAGTCAGGTTTCACTAAAGATCACATCCATTTCTATTTTCTCAAGACTTTTTCGTTGCTGAGCCTCTCAAACAAGTCCCTCTTACCTTGTTGCCCAGCAACATGATGACTACATCACTTTGTGCATACTCATGGATCTCTGTTAGCCTGTGTTTTTGTTTTTTATATTTCTGTTGTAAATGATTGTCTTTTATTGTGATTGTAGTAATGTGTTTTTATTACATGTACAGCACTTTGGCTCGACCAAAAATGTTCTGGACACCACTGAAGTACTGGAGACCAAAGGACGTTGCAACGCGTCCATGAAGAAATGGAAAGAGATGCAGCCGAGCCCCACAATGTAACGGCGATGACCTGGGCAAACCAAATGCTGCTGCGCTCACCTGCGCCAACCACTAGAAAGACGTGATATACTGTAGAAGACGGCTGGATACAAGAAAGAAGCATGAAGATATATTAAGTAGTACCAAAAGTGAAAGTACACATCTTGCAGATTGGCTAATATATAATATATGATTAGATTTAATTATGGATGCTTTCATATGTGAATCAAAGCTGGTAAAGGTGCAGCTAGTTTGAATGACTTGCAGGATAGCTTATGAATTTACTCCTGGTGGAAATAAAGTCTGATTTAAGTAAATGTAGGAGAAAAAGTACACAATTTACCTCTGAATTGTAGTGGGGTAGAAGTAAAAAGTAGCAACAATTTAAAATACTCAAGTAAAGTAAAAGTCTCTCAAATGTTTACACCACTGAAAGATCTGTGTCTTTAGCTGAAAAATGTGTTCCTTAGTTCCCAAAGCTTACTAACAGTCTGCTGCTGTACAGAGAAATGTTTTGGATATAAACTTTAATAAAAAGCCACAGCATTCAGTCAGGTTTCACTAAAGATCACATCCATTTCTATTTTCTCAAGACTTTTTCGTTGCTGAGCCTCTCAAACAAGTCCCTCTTACCTTGTTGCCCAGCAACATGATGACTACATCACTTTGTGCATACTCATGGATCTCTGTTAGCCTGTGTTTTTGTTTTTTATATTTCTGTTGTAAATGATTGTCTTTTATTGTGATTGTAGTAATGTGTTTTTATTACATGTACAGCACTTTGGCTCGACCAAAAATGTTCTGGACACCACTGAAGTACTGGAGACCAAAGGACGTTGCAACGCGTCCATGAAGAAATGGAAAGAGATGCAGCCGAGCCCCACAATGTAACGGCGATGACCTGGGCAAACCAAATGCTGCTGCGCTCACCTGCGCCAACCACTAGAAAGACGTGATATACTGTAGAAGACGGCTGGATACAAGAAAGAAGCATGAAGATATATTAAGTAGTACCAAAAGTGAAAGTACACATCTTGCAGATTGGCTAATATATAATATATGATTAGATTTTAATTATGGATGCTTTCATATGTGAATCAAAGCTGGTAAAGGTGCAGCTAGTTTGAATGACTTGCAGGATAGCTTATGAATTTACTCCTGGTGGAAATAAAGTCTGATTTAAGTAAATGTAGGAGAAAAAGTACACAATTTACCTCTGAATTGTAGTGGGGTAGAAGTAAAAAGTAGCAACAATTTAAAATACTCAAGTAAAGTAAAAGTCTCTCAAATGTTTACACCACTGAAAGATCTGTGTCTTTAGCTGAAAAATGTGTTCCTTAGTTCCCAAAGCTTACTAACAGTCTGCTGCTGTACAGAGAAATGTTTTGGATATAAACTTTAATAAAAAGCCACAGCATTCAGTCAGGTTTCACTAAAGATCACATCCATTTCTATTTTCTCAAGACTTTTTCGTTGCTGAGCCTCTCAAACAAGTCCCTCTTACCTTGTTGCCCAGCAACATGATGACTACATCACTTTGTGCATACTCATGGATCTCTGTTAGCCACGCCTGAAACAAGAGAGACACACACACAGTCCAACAAAACAGAAATTAAGTGTGTATGCATTAGGCCAAACTTGGAAAGCAGGTACACACACACACACACACACACACACACACACACACACACACACACACACACACACACACACACGCACCCTTATGTTGTCAAAGGAGGTTCTGCTGCTGATGTCGTAGAGCAGGAGCAGGGCTTTGGAGCAGGATGAATGACACATGGTTATATTCTGCAGGTCACAGTAACATGAGTAAAGTAGATCTGACAATCACATGTAGGTTATGGTTTTTTATCTGCCTTACCGTGAGCATCTCTGTAATATGCATGTGTCACACTTCTGAACCTCTCCTGTCCTGCGGTGTCCCAAATCTGAAATAAAAAAAGAAACTGACAGTTTGGCCTGGTTCCACTTGGCTGACTCAAGAGGAAACTCGCCTGTGCTTTAGAAGGAGGATCCTAATGTGAAAGCACATTTCACTTGAGCTGATATATAACTGACCTGTAGCTTGACCTTTACATCGTCAACAGTCACCACTTTATTCTGGTAGAAGCAGAAAGAGATTTCATGTTAGAATGAGCTGAAGACTTGATTTTAGTTAATCACCTCACAAAAAAAAACAACCAAGGAAAACCTTAGATAGATTTTTCTTTAATTTGTCGGGCTCCACTCCACTCAAACAAAGATTACTTCAAATAACCAGTGTGCCTGTTACACAAAGTGTGATAGGCTCTCTGGTTTGACAACTTTTACATCTAAAAAGAGCGGGCTGGCCAAGGAAGAGGCCCGCAGCAGACCTGTAGAAGGACTCTGACCTGTTCCCTCCAGGAACATCATCAAATTCCAAATTGCTACAGGCGCCAGGGCCAAGTTCTCTGTCTGCTCACACACACAGTCCTAAAGGGCCAGGCTCATCACAGCAGTTTAGCTGCTGACCGGCAGGCTGCCCTACATTCTGCTGGAGGCAGTCTTAAGGGCAATGCCTTTGTAGTCAAAGGAAATAAAATATGTCTATGTGGGTGCTTTACAACATTAATGGGGAACTCTGCTGTTGACCTTTTGTTTTTTTAATTCAAAATGACATGGTAAAGAAGAGAAGGCAGATATTTTAATTTTTTGTATCTCCATGGCTTGGTGGCAGCAGAGGAAAGTGAGTGTGTTCTTGTGTGATTTGGGTGACCTGACACTTTAACATGTGATTTCTGCTGTGTAGTTACAATACGAGAATGTCCTGTTTGTTAAATATAAACACCCACACACACACACACACACACACACACACACACACACACACACACACACACACACACACACACACACACACACACACACACACACACACACACCGTGAATCCAATGCCCACTGTAGCAGAGAAGGAGCCTGGGATGAACTTCCCCTGATCAAACTGCACCAGCAGAGAAGTCTTCCCCACTCCACTGTCTCCCACCAGGATGGTCTGCAGGAAAAACAAAGAAATTTATTACAATTAGAATCAAACTTGAACATCCATTTCGGGCTTATCCCACACCATAATTTTATAATTGTTGGTTGTAAGTCAGCCTCTGTGTCACCGTGAACATGTCTCCTTCAAGCTTTCCAATAACATTTCCTTTATGAGAGCTGGCAGTGTCTGCTACAGTGTGACTCACAAACTGCAGGAGATCACTGTGAAGACATGAAAAGAATAAAGGCAACATACAAGTTAGTCACCAGGGCCTGCAGACAATAATTCCCCTTCTGTAGGCACACACACACACACACACACACACACACACACACACACACACACACACACACACACACACACACACACACACACACACACACACACACAGTATGAAGACAAAGTAAAAAACAGTCATAAGTTCTAAAGTGTCAATAAGTGGTCTAAAGGCTTTATGAATGATAGAGGCTGAGAGGATTAGGTGGAGCAGCTTTTACGCCACACACAGCCTTTGATCTCAGCTTTTAGAGGGATTTTAGAAACTCTCAGAAGTGGGTCACATCTCAGTTGAGGATAAAATATGGATGCTGTATCAACAAACATGCATCCTCTGAAGTACCGTATCCATTTTATTGGGGCATGGCCACAACGTCCACTTATATTTACTCTGACAGAGCAGAGAATAGATTAAGAATAATTATGTTTAGCCTGTGGTAAGCACCTTTGTAAGGTTAGCCTGGGTTAAAACTTTGGTGGGAACTCATTAAAAGCACTGACAAAACCACTTTTTTGGCATACTTAAAAATAAGCTAAATGTTTTATAGTTATTAACTCACAGGTTTTAATGTTAAAAGTCAAATAGTAGCACACAAGACTGCCACAGAATTGTGACACATTTGAAAAACTTTTATTTTCACCTGTTAGCACACAATATGATGCCATTAGTAAAGCCAACGTTCCTTTCCTGCTCAGGAAGTAATGCTCATTAACTGTCAGGTAGTAGGCTATGCTCGCAGGTCATGCTAACGTTTGCTGCCTTACAGCCCCTACACACGCTTCTGCCCATTCACTTTGAATGGGGTGACGTCACGATTCGCCGAACTGCATTCTGGGAGCAAAGCGTAGCTTTTCTCGCGGTGCTCGCTGCAAAAGTAGAGCAATGTTCTACTTTTGAAGCTGAGGCGGAGGCGTCAGCCAATCAAATCCCGCGTATGCAAATCTGACAGTTCAAGCGCTAGCCAATCAAACCGCGTGTATGCTGAGAGAGCCAGACCGCAGTTCATTTCCTCATATGCCAAAAAATGGAGGAGAAAATAATCGTAGCGGTAGGGAATCACCCGGTGCTTTCAGTCCCTGTTCACCTACCGGGATACAAACCGGAGGAGCCAGGCATGGAGGGAGGTGGCAGAGACAGTGCGTGAAACTGGTAGGTTTTCGCCTGTTCGGGGAGTTTATATCCAGTGTACTTCGTTTGAATGGACAGCAGGCATAGACAGTATATTTAGCCACCATGCGATGTTGCATAAAATAGCACCATAGACATTAATTAAAAATCGCTTTTTAGACATTAATGTCTATGGTGAGATTCATACACGGGAGCCTTTTTAAAGGCTTTTTACCCCGCTGCAAACAGAAACCCCCCCCTTCCCATCACAAACTTTGCACAGACCCCCCCTTCCAATTATCAACTCCTGTCTTGTTTCCGCAAACTCTTGTGTCCTGCAGCAGCTAAACGTTTTGCAAGCCCCCGTTCGTTTAGTACCTAAAATAATAGACATCGCTTTTTCCAGGTGACAAACCCGACTTTCTGGTCACTTCTTCAATTTTCCAGCCCTTGGGGAGAGACACGGGAGATTCATGTGATTGGTTGTTGGTCGCGTTGCTCGCGTAAACTCTCCAAGCTCAAGACACGCCCACCGCCAAGCGGCAACGCACGCCGCCGTGTGTTGGCTGCGTTAGAGGAAATATACACGGATTAATACACTCCTTACACCTTTTTTCTTTGGAAAGGGAAGAAAACGGCATCAGCCTCCAGAAGCGTTTAATGCCAAGTATCACTCTTACAACAGCCACATGTGCAGAATAATTTCTTAGGTTAAGCTAACGCCGGTCAACCGTCACTGCATATAACACACTGGGGCCATAATAAAAGACTCATCTCATAAAAACAGAACCCGGGATGCAGCGAAGCTAGGTAGATGCTAGCCCAGGGGCTCTCCATCCTAATTCAATTTAAAACCTTTAAAAACACCCGAACCCACTTTTAATTTGGTCGGACGAATGTAGCATGGACTTGAGATCAGGGAACAAACAACAACATTGGGCCATGGTCGGCATGTAATCTACAGTTCATTCATCTGGCACTCCTGGCAGACTCTCTCTAACACAAAAAAGGGACAAAAACGAAAAAAGGAGAATATTGGGCTATTGGCTCTGCTGTGTCTCTTGCTATCGAGAGATATCCACCCGTGTCCGGGTCCCGGCGTCGTTTCCATCGACCTGACAGCTGGCGGCCCGGCCGATGAGCTCCACACACCGCCGGCCGGTTTCCGAAGAGGCTGGCTAGCTGAACAGCTAGCACCACCAGCGGGTCTCGCGCTGAGGGCTGCCGACCTAGCAGCAGGACCTCTACCCACACCGTCGGAGGACTACGGGGCCGCGCCGAAGGCTGGTAGCCGAGTAGCAGAGATCCACACACAACCATCTAACTTCAGAAGAGGCCGGATAGCTCCCACACCATCGGAGAACTGCGGGTCCGCGCCGAGGGCTAGCGGCCTAGCAGCGGAGATTCACGCATCACCGGCTGGCTTCAGACGAGGCAAGCTAGCTGAACATCTAGCTCTGCCGGAGGACTGTGGGTCCGCGCCGATAGCTAGCAGCCTAGCAACAGAGAACCACAAACCAACAGTTTGTGCTCCACTGTCAACAACGGCACCGAGGTAAAGCCTAGAAATCCGGTATTTAAAAAACACCGTTACACAAAAAATTTTCAAACAGTGAATCAAGCTAAAATAGTGTGGGATCCTCGGTGCAAGCCGAAGGGACTATTCAGTGGACATTTAAATTTCCGCAGCATTTGCAATAAACATGAACAGCTAGAACATCTCCTCCTTGAGTCCAATATTGGCTGTTTGGGAATATCTGAATCTTGGCTAAAACATTCGTCACCATCTACTCTTGTATCTATGTCAGGATATAATGTGTTTAGGAAGGACAGACTGAAGGGAAAAGGAGGGGGTGTGTTGCTTTATGTGAGGAATACATTTACTCGTAGGGAGATTGCTCTTCCAGCTAATATTGAGTTTGATTGTGTTGGTGTGGAAATCAAACGATCTGAGGAAATGTCCCTCACCATGATTTGTCTGTATCGACAACCCACCGCTAAGGTGGATTTCTATGACCAGGTAAAACTCATGCTGAATTCCTGTGACTCCAACAAAGAGCTAATTATTCTAGGAGACTTTAACATAAACTGGAATGATAAACAAAATAGAAAGAACTTAAAACGGATCACGGATAAACACAACTTAATACAACTAATGGATCAACCGACTAGAATAACCAAAACCTCCAAGACTATGATAGATTTATTAATTACTAACAAAGCTGACAGAATAGTTAAAACCTACAACTTCCTGACTGGTCTTTCTGACCATAATCTCGTTCTTTTTACCAGGAAACTCACAAAAAAAGGTTAATGGCCACACCTAAAACCCCTGCCTTCGGTTCTCGCTTCATCCCCAAAAATCTGCAACAACGTTTTATGGATGCAGTGAAAATGATTGATTGGGGGGACACTCTGTCCTCTGAAGACATTGGTGAAAACAGTGATCTGTTTATATCTAAAATTAATGATACAATGTCTTCCTTCTCAAGGAGAGGGTGCCTTAGGGACAGGAAGGAACATCATCTTCCCTGGCTGAATCTACAGTGCAGGAATCTAATGAAATCTAGAGACCAACTATTAAAGCAGAGCTTGAAATCCGGACTATCCACTGACAGACATAAATGTACTCATGCTCGTAACAAGGTAACACAAACAATAAGACAGGCCAAAGCAAACTTCTTCATCAATATAATTGAAGGTGCGAAAGGTAACGGTGAAAAAGTTTGGCAAATCCTAAATAAACTATTAGGTAAACATACCAAACAGGAAAATAATGTTCTAGAATTAAAAATCAATGATACCCTGATAAAAGACCCTGCAGTATTGGCCAGCTCTCTAAATGAGTATTTCATAAATAGTGCTCTGGATATTACAAAGCTCTTCCCGCCATCTGAGGTCTCACCTAGCCCGACTGTGGATACACACCCAGTTTTTGACCTGGAGGAAATCACAGAGGTTGAGGTAAAAAATATAATCTCAGGGTTAAGAGGTTCTAAGGCTAGGGATGCAGCTCCAGTTTCGGCATTGGCCTGTCATCAGATTTAATTTTAGTTGCTGCTGTAGCGGAAGTTTAGTACAATTATTTTTGATTAAATACTCCAAATCTCCACCCTCCATAATTGCACTTGCTTCAGTTGCTTGCTACTTTCTAACGGCGGTGATTAGATTTATGATTCGAAAATTATAAAAGTAGATTAGACATGTGGATATTATCCAATGTGTTTTTAAACGGAGCAGAAATAGAACTAGTCTCCCAGTTCAAGTATCTTGGAGTCATATTGGACTCAAACTTGACTTTTATGAAACACATTAAAGTATCTGTAATGGCAATAGAAATGTTCCAATGGCCTATATCCTTTGCCATTACTTCACAGGAGGGTTTAGAGTGATCCAGACATAGACACAAACAGATGATTTTCCGGTCTTTTGCTGCAGTTTAGAATGATGTTTATTTAGCTTTACATACCAAGGTTTAATTATGCTGTGTCAAAGGGTTGTGGTATGAGCATCTGCCGGGCTGGTGGAATCGATGTGCTCTTCCTCCTGTGTCCTCGTCCTTTCTTGTCACCTGTGACCCCTTTTATACACCCGGTGCAGCTAAACCCCGCCACCAAGTGTTCAAAAT